TGCAGGGAAGGATGTCGGGGAGCAGGGGAGCAGGGATGCTCATCCAGTTCAAAAGGTGCCTTCTGACTCCGTCTCTCGATTTTCCCAGCATGCAGCCGTGCCTCTGGAGCACACTGAGCTAAAACAGTCTTGGTTTGGGGGTAATACTATCAATAAAGAGGTCACTTTTTTCCCTTATTACAAATGTAAACTGTTTATCAGGGTCTCTTAAGAGACCTTCTGCTTATAATCACCTATGCGTGGAAGAATGTAAAACAATTTGGCAATTAAAAGCAAAACCAAGATATTTGGTGATGCAAAAGAATCAGCTGCAGAGTCATTTTTTAAGGATGAAGTCCTTGAATTCCGGGCCAAAGCACGCTAACTCCAGCCCTTCGCATTCGGAGCATTGGCTACATTCTCCTGCCGGCGTGTGTTATTCTTGAGAACTGATTTCCTGAGACGTATCTGTGAAGCTTCCTACAACAGGAAACTGTACAATCCCAACAGAGCCGTGTTTTAGGCATTCCGTCCACCCTAGGAACCACTTGCTTCCTTGACAGGCTGTCCTGTTCTTAGACTGGGAGCTGGTGACAGAGGCGGTGGCAGCTGGAACGGCTGACTCACCTGCAGGATTGGGCACGAACGCACCTTTCTCCAGAGGCCTCACAAAAACTCTCCTTTTTGGGATAATGCTTTCTCGAAAACCCGGGGCAGCGCAAAGCATTCAAACAGAGTGCCCTCGGTGCTCCTCGATATGCGGGCCTTCCCAGAAACACATTCATGGGCACAGTGGCCAGAGATCTCATCCCCTGACTAGTCTCTGTTTGTTCAAGTCAAGTAACAATATAGCAATACTCTTAGCTAATTTTAAACATCTAGTTAGCCAAGCCACCCATGCACTCCCTGAGTTACAGTGGCCAAGCACAGCTTAGTGACTAGGGAAACTGTCTCCCATAATCAAGCAGAAGGTTGAGGGAACCCCAGCAACTGAGGTCAGAGAGGCAGGACGCTGCTCCGCCCGCTCCCAAAGCCCACCTGGCGAAACGAGGGGACCAAATGGCTCCAGCCTCAGCTCAGTGAGCCTTTAAACGGATTCCTCAGCCAGGTCAGTGTTTACTGTCAGCTACTGAGTTTTCCAGGTGTCCTTCTCCCGAGCAGACAGGAGGGGGCGTGCTCAGCAACAGTGTTCAGGTGTTGTTTAGGGTGTCACAGGTGTGTTTCCCAGCACCAGTTTTCCGTCAGCAATGTCCCAGTCAGTGACAAAATGACGCTGTTATTGCCCGTGGAGGAATGAGATCTTCCTCTGAGGTAGGACCACGTTTCGCTTTGGTCAGCAGCAGCAGTTTCCCGGGACAATGCAGGTTTCCAGGGGAACAAACGCAGTCAAACTGGAGGAAAAGTACAAGTCGGGACGGATGGGGCCTGGTAAACAAGGCCGAGGAGATGTGTGAACTACACATCTGCGCTCTCGTGTTTTCTTGCAGGACCACTCGGACAGCCCCCTTGGCGCGGCCGTGACCCTGGCACACGAGCTGGGCCACAATTTCGGGATGAACCACGACACCCCGGAGAGAGGCTGCGGCTGCAGAACGGCTGTCGACAAAGGAGGCTGCATCATGAACCCTTCCACTGGGCAAGTACTCCCGCCTCCCGCTGCTTCCAGAGTCGGGCGCCACTTGGAGTGCGTGTTGGGAAATAGCTGGGCCAGACACTCCCTGGTCTTCCAGCCAGGACACCCGTGGAAGTTTCTAGAAAGAAATTTCTCCCCGAGTAGCAAGAGTGGACCGTGCCTCTCAGAGAGTCTTAGGCAACCAGGTGGCAGTGCTGTGCGTCAAGGACTGACCTCCCCCCGAGCACTGGTGGCATGCGTGCCACTGTCCTCACCCAGAAACCACAGACCACCCTGCAGCCCTGGCACATGTATGATTTGAGCTCACAGCCCTGGTGCTGTGGCCACCAGAGGGCCTGGTACCTTCAGTGGCAGGGTGGGTGAGGTCACACAGGTCCGCGTCCCTCGGGGGTGCTGGGTGAGAGGGGCTTCCTCCCTCGGGGCTGGCCCTGTGGTGGATTTGAAGGGTGCTGGCAGCTTGGGGACTTGCGTTCTCACCTCTGATGCCACGTCACCACAGCAGGTCTTAGAGGGTTCAGAGCCGTGACTTCTGTTTCAGCAGACACTGCTGTTACCCCTCACTCCACGCCCTTCTGGAACTCTAGACTGGGTTCACCCAGAACCAAAGGAAGGCAGTTTATTATCGGGGCATTCAGGGGAGGTGGAGACAGATCAGCTCGGAGCGACTACAGATTCTGATGTCTCGGTGCACCCTAAGGGCCCGTCCCAGCCTAGAAGGTCACGCTCACATGGGATCTTCATTAGCAAGGGAAACACGCCCTCCCTCAGTGCCTCCATCTTTTTTACCCCTCTCGACCCTCCTGATGCGTATCTTCAAGGCACGCCCAAGGCCGAGGCTGCTCTCCAGTTCACTTTGCAGACAGGTAGCCCAGAGATGGGCCTCTGCCGAGACTTGCTAGCACAGGGCAGTCGTACCAAGAGGGGGACACCTGCTAAAGGGGTGCCGAGGTCCCAGGAGAGAGGTGCATTGTTGCGGAATGTGGTCCGGCTTTTGTAAGCAGTTAGCCCTGGAAGCCGGCCGTCCAGTGGCTGCCGGGTGCCGCTGCGCCCCCAACACAAAGAGCGGCAGACCGGCACGCTCACGTCACTTTGTGTGAGCTGCTTGCGGTGAGGTGTCTTCTTCCAGCAGCCGCCGTGAGCACGGAGCCTTCGGGGAGCAGTCCCTCTAGCTCATGGCTCTGCCTCCTGCACGGGTCAAGGCCATCACCAAGGCCTGCTAGAGGAACTTGCTCTCTGTGTCTGTGATGACAGAGGCCAAGAACCGGAGCCCAAGTGAGTGTCTCAGGCCAATGTCAAGAGGAAGTGAAGTACTGTGGACTCTGGACACCAACAAGTGGAGCCCTCAAAGGGCGGCCGGTCACTGAGACATAGTGTGCCCCTTGTCACGTAAAGCATCAGGTGGGGCAGAGACACTCAGGAGTGGGGCAGAGAATTCCTTCGTAGGGTGTGGGGTTGGCTGGGGGCCTCTGGGGGCTTCTGTTCCCAGCGCCCCATCAGCCCGGATGGAGCCCCGCCTTGCAGGCCAGCCAGCCCGCTCTGTGACTCTGACAGGCGGCCGAGTTGTCTCACACTTTCTCATCCCTGATGGACTCGAAGTGGCCACAGAACACCCACTCTGGGTTTGATTCCCTGATCATCCAATGAGCACACACACATCAGACGCCAGGGCCCTCTGAACAAGGTGGACTGCAACTGCACAGGCCCAGGTGGGCAGAGATTGTTTTCAATAAACAGCAGTCAGCCCTTCGTACCCCTGGGTTCTGCATCCGCAGATCCAACCGACAGCAACCGAAACCATGTTTTCCATCGAGGCTGGGGACTGCGGATGCAGAGGGCTCACTGTGTGCCTCATTCTACATATTCAACAGGAGGGACTTGAGCATCCACAGAACATGGGACCCACAGGGAGGGGCTGGGTGTCCTGGAACCAGGATACAAGGGACCCGAGGGACCACTGAAGTACCTGGGGAGTCCGAGTCGTACCCATGTTTTCAACCTCTCAGAGGATGGGGAGGGCGTCAGCTCCGCAACCCCCACGTCATTCAAGGGTCAACTGTATGTGCTGCCCAAGTGGTTCCCAGTGACCAGAAAGGCTATACTGTTAACCAATATTGTTAATGGTTTTGAGCTCTTGATGCAAGAGACAAATGGAAGAAAGGAAAATCTGGACCGGAAATACTAGGCTGGGATCCAAGAGACCTGGTAGCCCCAGTTCTGACACCAATCATTTTTGGTAATACAGGCAGAGGTAGTCCTTTGGCTTTTCAGTTCCCATCAGTGAAGTGAGGCGGTCTGTCCTTCCTTCTGTCCTTCCTTTTTTCCTTCCTTCTTCCCTCCCTCCCCCACCCATCCGTCCATTCATTATTCTATCCATCCATCCGTCGCCCATCCTTCTGCCAATTGGCTCACAAGTATTTGGCCCCGAGGTTCATTGTTGTGGGGCGCACACAGATGAAGGGAGCCCTGCAGCTCTATGAACTGCGTGATTCTGGAGGCACCACAGTCAGCAGGCCCTCCGCCTGGTCCTCTCTGACCGATGTATCAAGCCCTTCAACCCGGAGGGTCTTCTTGCCGGTGTTTATGGACATGAGCCAGCTCCCTCGGAGATGCCTGGCTGCCGTTGGTAGAATGGTATTGTTCAGAGCTCAGCAAATCACTTAAAAGGCTTTTCCCCCCTTACCAGGGGTTTGCTAATAGCCCTTACTTGATTTATACCTTATTAGCAATTTCGAAGTTTTCTCTTTTGCTGAGCTTGTGCCTTTCTGTAAATCTTTTCTCTTTGGTTCTCATTTATGATCCCGCATTCCTGTCCAGAGAGTGGTGTTTTTAATTTTCTCAGATGGAAAGAAACTTCCTAAGCAAGTGGGTGAATGAATCACTAAGGCCCAGAGGGTGGGGGAGGTCACGGCGCGCAGGCAACCCCCGGTCATCCATCACCCACTGTCGACGTTCTGGGCGGCTTCTCCTCTCCAGGGTTATCTCCCTGTGGTTGTTCTCTTACCTCACAGGGTCCCCCGAGAGTGGGAGAGTGGGTTACATGAGATCATGTGTCTTGGTAAACTGTAAATCACCCCACAAGTAGGTGGTGGGGTTCGGGCTGTTGTTTAGTGCAGAGGGAACCATCGACAACTGAAAGGCCTCTTTCCAAAGTCCAGCTCGTTTCTGTGAGGCACTCGAGGGCCGCAGCAGGGCCATTCGGCAGTGCGCCCACGAGTTCCGAACAGCAGCTTCCTCGTGACCACCCCCACTACTGACCCAGGCGTGCGAGGTGAACATTAAAGACAGGATCTCAGTGTTCACCCCAAAGGCGACTCACAAAGAGTCGAGTCGGCGACTGGCATTCAAATCTCCCAGGCTCACGAAGCACCAAGTACTACAGACAGTTCACAGATGACCGCCTCGAGGGGAGGCCCGTCCTGACGTACCTTGTTTATTCCTTATGAAGACGTCCCAGAATCCGAACTCTGGACATTTTAACCAGCGCCATCACTGACAAATTGGACCCACGGGCCTGAAAATAGAAGGAGCACATGGAGGCCTTCTGAACACACGGGTCATAACTTACAGTGCATGTTACCACCGTGGCGAAGGGAGTGTCCTGACCAGTGGTGTCATTAATTACACACGTCTTCGAGTGTGTGCGAGAGTGTGTGTTTTATGTCTCTGGTGCTTACCAGTCAGACTCGCCTTGGAAATCACGGTTCGGCCCCGGCGGTATCTAGGAATTCGTGTGGGAGTTTCAACTCAATCAAGCCCGTCCCTTCCTGAGCTTCTTGGAGCTTTTGGTCTCCAGGGGGTGAGAGCTAAGAATGCCACGTTAGGGAGTGAGAAAATTGTGAAAGTAATCTGAACGCTTTTGGAAAAGAATATTTAGCATAATAGAAAATATCACTTCCTAGAGTGGGAGAAAAAGCAGTATGAACATTCAGAAATGACACTCACAGCGTCTCTATTTTTGGCAACAAGATTTCTGTTAAAAGGAGCCTGGAGTCATAGAGGCAGCTGCGGCAGGAGCTGCTGAACCTGGAGGGCACTCGGTCCTGCCACTTGGTAGGCACTGCGGTAAGGCCTGGGGTCCCGACCATGAACGGGACAGCCCCGGCCCGTGCCCTCAGAGAACTTGCGCTCTAGGGGGAAGAGAGAACGGCCAACCAGGGAGTGCTGAGAAGGCAGGAGATAGTGAGGATGAACAGGAGACAGGCACAGCAGCTGGGGGACCCAACCGGAACTGGGGGCTGGGGACGGGAGGCTTCTGTGTGGACGGGACATCCAAGCAAAGCCCGAAAAGAGAGGGATGGCAGCCTGCAGAGGTCAGAGGTCTCGGGCAGGGGGAGGGGATGCTGAGCCAGGGTTTGGAAGCTGGATCAGAATGTGAAGGGGCTGGTGCTGCTGCGCAGACTGGGGGAGCCTCCACGGGCAGAGCCCCGTCTGCACAGTGGGAACAGGCCTTCCTCTCGGGTCAGTTAGAAGTCACCAGGGTGGTGGGGGGCTTAGGTGGGGCTGGGGGGTGACCTCATTTCTCTTTTCGTATTCTTTTCATTGTTAAGAGGATCATGTAGCTTCTGAGACATTGTTGCCAAATTAAGGAGCTTCCTGTAAAAAAAAGAAAGAAAAAGGCGATAGTCTGTAAACACTAGCTGCACATCAGTGTAGTGAATGGGTTGGAATCGCGACCAGTCTGTACTCCAGACTGCCCCCCGCTCAGCTCTGCAGTCTGGAGACATGGCGTGGGTTGTGGAAGATTCTTTTCCATCCGGATTGCTCTCTGCTTTCCCTACAGCCAGTGTCCTCTAAGGGCTCCACTTCGGAGGGCCACTGCAGGGCACCGTCACCCTGTGTGTGTCTGAAAGGGCTCACGGCGCCAGTGCACATGCAGAGGCCAAGGGGGGTGGGAGGGGCTGTTTGGGTTTGTCTAGGCCAGACCAGCAAGGGGCTCCTGGGGAAGGGCCATGCTCCCAGCTCCCAGCAGGAGTGACGGCAGCATGTCAAGTGCCCAGAGTAATGGGGGCTGAGAAAATAAGCACGGGAGGGTCACCCCAGGCTCCCAGGGGTGGCAGTCACTCGCATTCAGCTACAGTTGGACAGTTGGGAATACCATGTGCAACTAGATCAGATACCCAGGTGGAAGGAGAAACAAGGCCCTTCTTCTTCCTCCGGAGTTTGTATAATTGGCTCCCTTGAGTTCTTCTAACTTACCTACTCGCTACCCAGCTGTCTGGACGTGGAGCACCTCTGCGTGGCCTCCGCCTGAGTTCAGCCTTCTCTAATGAAAACCCAGACGAAGTGGGCCCAGCCTCCAGCTTGGGACCAGCCCACTGCAGGAAAGAGGGTTAGGGGGCCGGTCACTGACTGCGGCGTGCAGGGCCCGGGGAGCGGGCGGGGGCGCAGGCACGGAAGGCGGGAGCCTTGACACCTGGGAACTCGTACTGTGGTGGGGATGATGGGCAAGTGAGCTGCGGCTCACAGACCAGAAGCTCAGGGCTCTGGTGGGACGAGTTAGGGCGCGTTGGGGTCGCTACTCTGACCCATTTACACAACCCGGGCCTCATCGCCCCTCCCCTCTGAGTGTTTCAGGGTGTGCCTTTAAAAGATAAGGAGAAATTCTTAACCGTCACCACCACCATGGCATTTTACACCTTTTAAAAATCGACCCATAACTCACTATGAACAGGAGCAAAGGTCGCAAAGGGGCGGCGGGCCAGGGAGATGTTCTGGAATAAAGTCCTGTCTGCACCGCTCCCTGAAGGCGTGAGTAGGGTCAGGTGAGTCTCCACAGAGTTCCTACCTCACAAATGGGGAGACTGAGTTTCTTTCTGGGGAGGCCTCCGTCTGAAAAAGTGTTTTAAAGGACTAAAGCGAACAGCACTTTTCGATGAAAAATTCCCTAGAGCTTCGGACGTGGTGGGAAGTGACAGACGTGTGATGCATCTGGAAGGTCTACATCCTGTTTGTAGATCTTTCTTCCCTGAAAATCAGTGTAGGACGCGCTTAATTAAAACTCACCCCCTTTTGAACTTTAGGGGGCTGAGGCCATGAAAAACGTTTACCAGGAAGGCACTTGGTGAGAACGGGATTGGAGGAAATTATTTCCCTGTATCAGCTCTTCATTTGGTTATTTTTTCCTCAATGAAAAGTTTAAGACAGTCTTTACTTCCTTCTTCAAAGTGTAGGAAGAAAAATGGAAATCTTTATCCAAGGACGGGGAAGAAAGGGGAGGAGGGAACACAAAATGAGGAGTCCAGGAAGATTAACACAGAAGGTCAGGGTCAGTTTCATTACGCTGCCGGGGCTGCCGGGGCGACTTAGTTGGCTGCAGCCCAAAGTTATCACAAAGGAGACACGGCCTGGCAGGACCGGGTTGGGACCACAGTTCAAAAGGACACGTGGATACAAGGCACGTTTTTGTTTCCGCTCCGCATGATTAGACATTGCTCACTGGACAATAAAGGCGTTTGTCCGTGACTGTGGCAGAGCTGGGATACTAGGACATCACCACCCAGGGGCATGATAGAACCGTCTGCCCCTCCTAAGCTGGACACACAACATAGGTCAAGCTAGGGACACCAGCCTGCATGGCCACCATTCCTTGAATATCCAGCCCAGGGGAAGTGAACACAGGCAAACTTGACTTTGACCCTAGAGAACTGCATTCAGGATGTCTTACTTCATCAGTAAACTGTGTGAGCTGGGCAGGATTATAACCCATCTAAAAGACAAGGGAGTTGGAGCTCAGAAAGTTAAAAGAATTGCCTACACTTCCAACACTACCCACACAGAAGCCCCCAGACATAGGCCAAGTTGCCAGGAGCCAGCCCCCTGCCTTTCCATCTCTCTGTTCCTTATCTCAAATAAAGAGCCGAGGTAGCTCTAACCCTCAGGGGGAGGAGAAAGGCATCTATCCCAGGGGGCTGGTCAGAAAAAACTGTGCTAAGCTTCCAACCCTAGGCTTTATGGGGGCCAAGTGTCACCAGGCTCCTTGCACCTGGTCTCCGTGCACCTGGTCTCCATGCAGCTTGGCTCCGTGCAGCTGGGATTTATACATCTGGGTTCTGTGCAGCTGGGCTCCATGCAGCCGGGCTCCGTGCACCTGGTCTCTGTGCAGCTGGGTTCTGTGCAGCTGGGCTCCATGCAGCCGGGCTCCGTGCACCTGGTCTCTGTGCAGCTGGGTTCTGTGCAGCTGGGCTCCGTGCAGCTGGACTAAGCATAAGCCTAGGCAGCTGTGGAGTCAGGCCTCCTCTTGTGTTTGCCACATGGAAGTGGCCACAAGTGTGTTGCCATGTTTGGGCTTCCTGTGGAGACTGAAGCCTCAGCACAGAGCAGTGTCCCTGTGCGGCTTCTGGGAGGCAGAAACAGTGCCCCATTTTTAAGCCGTTTAGTTCTGCAAACCTCAGCTTATGTTACAACAGCAGAGAATTGCTTCCTGTCGTTGCTCATTAATCCCTCGTTTTATTTGTGGCAGAACATGTGTGAAAACAGTTCAGCTGACGTTCTGTCAGTCCCCCCCCCCCCCGCCCCGCACACATGCTCACGGCTTCCTCTGCTCCCTAGGACAGGTGGCGCGGAAGCTGCAGGGTGGGGTCAAGGGCAAACGATGGGCCTCTCTGCAGCCAACGGTATCTAGAAGGACCCACTTTAACCCCCACTAGGTCAGGAGTTTTGTCTGTTTTGTTCATTGCTGAGTCCCCAGAACCTAGAAGAGGGCCTCGTAGTAGTACAGTTAAAAAATACTTCTTTACTGAAAGGATGAAAGGGTGGATGGATAGATGGAAGGGAGGGTGGGTGGATGGAGGGTGGAGGGATGGATCATGGGTGGGTGGATGGGTGGATGACTGAGTGGGTGGAGAGCAGATGGTCAGGTGACAGTGGCGGATAAATGGGCGGAGGGCGCTTCCAGTACAATCAGATGGGAGAGGAGCATGGCCATCCCTCCCCCTTTTGTTAATGACGGAAGCTCCGGGGAAAAGACTCTGGTCCACTCTCTCACACTAACTTTGGCATCTGCTACAACATTGCCATTTTCATGTCCTGTATATCCCACATCCGCCTGTAGGGGGCTTCCAATAGCTCACGAGAATACATACAACACAATAAACAGAAAGGCAAAACTAAAGTAGAAATGAATGAGGGCTGAGAAACCCCAGGTAAGTGGGTAGCCTCGTCCATTATGGCTTCTTCTGTCTTAATGCTCACGGAGGTCAGGACGACAGGAGCGCTTTGCTTTCGGAAGGCAGGGCCCTTCCAGGAGGGGCTCCTCCTGCAGCCCTTGCTCAGCTAAAGGAGGAGGAGAGGATCCAAAATAGAAAAACTAGACGTAGCTGCACGAACCAGACCCGGGGAGTGCTCCGGGTTACAAAGAACGTCCTCCTCTCCCTTCCCGTCTGATTGTCACAGCCCTGTGGGGGGGAGGGGGGACAGATGGCATCTCCTCCATTCTACAGGTGGGCAGACTGAGGCCCAGTCGGATCCCATCAGGATGTCAGCCCACAGCTTCTGGCTCGTGGCCTCGGGCCCGGTCCACGGCTCCTCACTGCGTGTCTGTTCCCGATCCCTGGGGGGCCCGGGGCCAGCCCTGCTGGACTCCTGAGTCTCCCAGTGGCCATGGTGGCGAGCCCAGCGCCCAGAGCTCGGGGCACCCAGAGCAGGGCCTGTGTAGATGTCGGCCCTGGCGCGGCAGCTCAGGGGCATCTGCCTTGACCAGTTTCCCTGTCACCTTTGATTAGAAGTGTCTTCCCTGTCCCAGGCTTGCAGAAGCCATGGAAGTGGCCGGCAGGATCTGTGCAGGTCTGTTCTGGGGTGAGAGGAAAGGGCGGAGTCATCTCAGACTGTTACCTGTCCCTGACTGACCTCGGCGTCTGTTTGTGTCTGCCAGAGCCCCGCCCTGGACAAGCCCGCAGCCTTTTCTTATAATGAAGCTGAGAAGTTCCTCTCGGGTGCCCCCTCTGATGGGCTGGGTCCCCTGCCCATGAGTCCCTCGCCTTTCAGGACTGGGTTTGGGAGGAAGCAGCCACTGCAGCTCAGAGTGCAGGGCCTACTTTCCAGCAGTGCCGGAGGTCTGCACACCTCTCCGCTGGCCAGAGCTCCGTTGGTCTCCCTCTTTATTAAATGTTCTGGGAGTTACCTTTGCACTTTAATTGGCTTCCAGGAGGAGGTACAGAGGTCAAGGTTCATGTGTTAAAAACACGAATTATAATGTGTCGCAGATGGCTCTGTTTGGAGCCAGATGTTTGCTATTAACAATGGAAATGTCCTACTAAGGACCTATTTCTGATCCTTTGCTCCTGGCCTGGCACTTTCCTTTGTCACCTGCGGCCCATCTGGGGAGTCCACGGGGTCCGTGCTCGGCCCTGACCCGGCCACTTTTCATTCCTGGCGCTGCCAGAAGGAAGCGTTCTGCCCATGCCCTGACCCCGCCCTCCGTTCTGCTGCGGAAGCTGGTGTTCTTGCTCGCCAGGCAGGGGGGGCACTGGGCCCACCTCCGCCTCCCATCCCACCCTGGAGGAGTCCAGCCGAGCAGCTGCTGTCCAGGAGGGGGACTCTCTCCTGTGCTCACAGCTTGTTGGAGCCTGACGGGCTCACGACCTCTCCCGGGTGTGAGCAAGCTGGCCTGGCTTGGCCTCAGGTGTGCCAGACAGACCCCACGCCCGGGCCTTTGTTTGCTATTGCACTGAAGACAGTCAGGAAGGTGCTTGCAGGTCCCTTGGAGTCACAAGCAGGACCGAGGGACCCAAGGCTCCAGGGCTGCTGCCTTCTCCTCCACGGATGCTGGCAGCCCTCACCTGGCCACTTGTGCTGGGTCCTGCCCGAGCCTGCCCTGAGGGTGACCCCAGAAGCCGTCCCAGGGGCCTCCCGACCACCCTCATGGCAGTGCGGTTGCTTGGGAAACACACAGGCCTTCAGGTCAAAGGGCCGTTTTTAGTCCTGACTTGAACCGCACGACTGTGGCCAGGTACCTAGCCTCTCCGAGCCTTGGTTTCCTCAATGTAAAATAGGAACGATATCATCGGACTCCCAGGGATATTGGTGAGCGGGGGTGCCCACCAAGCTTGGGGCCTCAGCAGGGGCTCCCTGAAGAATAGTAAGTGTTGTTAATATTTGTAGTCATTATGCTTGAAATGCAAAGCGAGGTGAGGCCCGGAGCTCCTGAAATGGGGCGTTGCCCACGAGGCTGGTCGCCGCTGGCCCGGACGCCTCCGTGGGACCCGACAGGGCAGCCTTCACAGCTAGTGAAAGCCTGTCTGTGCAGAATGGAGTGGAGTCTTTTTCTGTTGTAATACCACGTGTGTATGTGTGAAAGTGAGGGTTCATGTTTAACAGCCTGATCATGCCTTTGGCTCCTGAGTCATTTTCCTCTCAAGTTTACTTGTACTTGTGGTTTTGCAGTTTTAACGATGGCTATGTTTGGGCTACAATTATAATA